CCCGCCACAAGGGCTCTCCCGGAGAAGGCTGGAAATGGGGGGGCTGCAGCGAGGACGTGGAGTTTGGGAGCATGGTGTCTCGGGAGTTTGCTGATGCCCGGGAGAACAGGCCAGACGCTCGGTCAGCCATGAACAGGCACAACAACGAAGCTGGAAGGACCGTAAGGCCGTTTACTTTTACCTTACTTGATCGCCCCTTAAACATTTTCCACCTGCCACTTTAGAAACCTATAGCGGGAGGGACCTGAGGGGAGTAACCAAACCAAAATACGAACTGTTTTCCATCACAAAACAATGTTATGTGCCCTATGATAGCTCTTGGTGTGGTTGTGATCAGTGATTCTTTCTGATTGATCTAGATCTAAGGAGCCTAGAAGTAAATGCAAAAAAAAAAAAAAAAAAAAAAAAAAAAAAAGCCTGAGTCAGTTGCTCAGACCCTTTTATAGTGATTGCATCAAAACAGACAAATTTCATCCCTGCTGAGAGAAGACATTTTAAGTAGGTCAGTTGAATGAAGTCTTACTAGAGTCTGATCTCCTCCCTTGGCTGTAAGAAGCGGATGCATCAAACAGCCAGAGATGTCTATACACAGAGGTGTAGACAGCTGAGGTTAAAATAGGTGAACTGGAGCTTATGGGCAGGATTCATCAACCTAAACACAGGTATTCACTGTAATGTGAGGTATCCTAAAGGATCCAGCCTGCTCTCCAAGTGCTACTGTGAAAGCCAATGGATCTCCTGTAGGTCCTTTGCCACAAAGGTGAGGAAGAGCAGGAGAATATTTCCATCTCCTTTTCTTGACACCTTTCCCACAGTGTATTTGAAGAAAATGAGAGGAAATGTGACACTGGTGTCTTCTGTTTAAGTCTTGCCCGTATCACAATGACTGCCTCGTAAGACAGTGAATCTTTTCTGTAAGGTGGGACAATCTCCATAAGGGGGTGGAAAATGACTTTTTCATCAAAAGAATAGCCCATAAATGCCAGCGAAGTATGCTCTTTGGGAAACACTTGTGAAATTCAGTCGCAAAACCCTTATTAGTGGAGATCATGCTGGAGCTCCTATGGGATAACAGCCTTTTTTTTTTTTCTCCAGTGATAAACTAAAGATAATTTTATCCTTCAGTAAAACAAAAGAATCTCCTTAAAATCAATAGAGATTAATATGATCTCATTCCCTTGGGAATAGGCCTTATGCACGTATAAGAGGACACACAGCTGTGCAGTGAGCCATAGCAAAGCCACCGCAGTTGCACTGTGCTGGGACACAACTGTCCACAGACAGGCTAGGAATTCCACATGAGCTCCTCAGGTGGACAGGACCAAAACCCTGAAGAATTTGTCCACCTCACACCTCTGGAGAGCTAGTCTGAAAGGAGCAATACCAACTTTCCAAATAAAAACCACCAGAACAAGTGTATACTGTGAAGAAGAATATGAGAAATAATGTGATTTCCCAAAACATTGGCCCATGTTGTCCCAGATCCTACAAGGCCTTGTGCATTTCTGATGGTAGTTACTGGGCAAGCCTGCTGAGATCAGGAGGACTGTGGGGAGTAGGAAATATGGATTTAGCTTATACTGAGAATACCCAGAAAAAAAAAATCAAACTGCAAGTAAAGATCCGTGGAATTTCAGTCCTGCAAAGGTCTTTTTGATGCATGTCTTTTCACTTGGCACTGAGTTATTTTTGGATATTTTGCAAATGTCAAAGATTAAAGAGTAAATGTCACAGCATTATCTGAAATGCTACTGTTTTATAATATATTTTCTATTCTCCCCATGCCAGCGCTTATGGGGTAGGTGTTTCAGGCCTCCTTGCTCAAGCGTTTCCAGCTAAACCTGAGCCATAGGCAATGTTGCATATTAGTTCCCATATGAACTCAAACCCTGCCACCAGGCCAGAAGCTTTGATTAAGTTCAGGGTGATTATATGAACCAACCATTTTGTGGTTCTCTCTCATCTAATTACAACCTCTTTTGCGGTGTGTGATACTCCGTAAATAACACAGGAAAGCACCTGGTGAACAGCAAGGTGCTGATTCATGGCAAATCTTTTGGACTCAGGCTGGCACTAGTCTGTTCATGTACCCAGAAATTTGCTGATCAGTCTGAAAAAACAGATTATCAAGTAAGTTGCATAAGGCTGTCTCCCACCTCAGCATACTGAATGCCAACCCTCTCTAGAAAACTTTGGACTAATTTAGCACAAGGTGAAAGGAAATAACCATCTCCTGGGATCAATAATTGTGTTTCTGTTTATCCTGAGACAGAATTTTATCTTTGAGTCTATGCATATTAAAATCAAAAGTGGGACTTCTATATTTTTCTTTGAATAGCTTTAGAAAAAAATGTAAATTTGGTTTAAAAATGTGAATACATTTCTGTATTCTGAACTTTGCCACCAGCAAGGCTAGAACTTCATTTGCTTAAATAAGCATAAAAACATATGTTAAGGATGAAATACTCTGCTAGGTGGTTAGGACAATTTTTATTTCTTTCATTTGCATTGGAATAGTTGTATATTCTATTTATCATAGTTTTGTCATTGTTTTAGCTGGGTTTTATGGTCTTTGCTTTTATGCCTAGATGTGTCTGAATTTCATTCTTGGGTGAGAATACTGCAATATTCACGTGAGCATTGTTAAGATAAAAATTAATGTGTACAGAAATCACTTTAGCCACCAGTGAAAGCACTTTATTGATGCTTTAACCTGTGGTGGGAGTGAGAAATAGTTCCTGAAGTTTATATCTGCCTCAGACCTAGCATCTGTGCAGTACATTGGCTGAGGAATAAAGTATGTATGTGAACATCTATAAAAACGCTATAGGTCACTAGGAAACCCTTGCTAAATAGCAGAATTCAATATATGTTTTGATTACAGGCTAATATCTTCCTTCTTCTTTGCCTGTCCTCTCCTTTTTTTCAGTCCATTATTGAGCTCATGCACCTTAAGTGCAAATGTCATGGCCTCTCGGGCAGCTGTGAAGTGAAGACCTGCTGGTGGTCTCAGCCGGACTTCAGGGTCATCGGTGACTATCTCAAGGACAAGTACGATAGCGCTTCCGAAATGGTAGTGGAAAAACACAGGGAATCTCGTGGCTGGGTCGAGACCCTGAGGCCCAAATACAACTTCTTCAAGGCTCCAACTGAGAAAGACCTGGTTTACTACGAGAATTCACCAAACTTTTGTGAGCCCAACCCTGAGACAGGTTCTTTCGGGACCCGTGATAGGATCTGTAATGTCACTTCCCATGGGATTGATGGTTGCGACCTTCTGTGCTGTGGCCGCGGGCACAACACGAGGACTGAGAAACGGAAAGAGAAGTGCCACTGTATCTTCCACTGGTGCTGCTATGTCCGCTGCCAGGAATGCATACGAGTCTACGATGTCCACACGTGCAAATAAAGCAGGCAAAATTCTTCCCTGGGCTCCAAGTGGAGGAACAGATTTGAGCCTACTTCCTCTGAGGTTGCAGACATGAGAGAAGTCCACTTTTTTGATATTAAAGAATAATAAAACAAAAAAAGGCTAAAACTGGTTGGATAGAATAGGTCTAATGACTTCTGGGCTATCCCAAGGTACATTTGGCAGTCATAAAGGTATGCCCCAATTATGCCTCCTGTGGGAGACAGCAGTTTCTTCAACTAGCCGATAATAAAGAGCTAGAAAGAAGAGTATCAGCAAGAGTATGGATTTGCTCTGCTCTCACCCACTTGAAGTGACTCATGTGATTAAGTGTCCTTTGAAAGACTTGCATCTTCCTAAAATCAAATTCTCCTTTTCCCCCAGCTAGGGGGAGGTTATGTTGGACGACAGCACTAAGTTTTCTAAGATCTATCTACATACCCAAATGGTCAGATTCTGTGTATACTATGAGCAACAACAAGAACAAAAGAAATACAAGCAGAAAAATTAATGAATGGTTTAAAAATGCAAATCCTCCTTTGCTTTTGCCATAGAACCAGAGAAGTCTACGTATACATTATAGAGTTGCAGATTGGGCAGGCTCTTTGCATGAACTTTTTTAGCACAGTAGCTTCTGCCAGATTTGACATAGGATGCAGTGACACCTGTAGACATGGAGGGAGAGAGAAATAGAGGGAGATAACTGCTGATGGTTTCCTACATATGCGCTATTGGCACACAAGTGGTGTGCATGCTACAGAAAAGATCTATGCCTCACGTGAAGGGAAGAGGATTCACCATATCCAGTGAGAAGGAGACAGTCCCATGATGAGAGACATTGCTCCAGATATGGTTTAGTAGGTGGTTCAGCCAGCAAGATTTCCTCCGAAACATGCAGAAACAAACGAGTCTCCTGGGGCTGAACACTTGCTGCTGGGGGTAGGACGTGGCTTCTCAGCATCCCAGCTCATTCCGGCAAAGGAGGAAAGGGAAAGCATCCACTCCTGACGTCTTGTTGGAGAACACCATAAGTAACAGTGGAAAGTGTACTTAGTCCACTCCATCTGCTCTCCACGCCTCGTGGAGGCTTCCCTACAGGCACTTAGCAAAACCCTTAGACCACAAGTCTGCAAGGAAAATGACTCTGAAGGACTGACTGTCACCCATTAATTTACACAACCTTGAACCACCACCACCACCCCCCGCAAGTTGAAACAGTTTCAGATTCTAACCAAGTTTGGATCCACATCCAATTTCTACAACCATTCCAGTTTACAAAAGTGACAAAGATTAAAATACACAAAAATCCAGACCCTGCACCAGCCAAGTTTGGATGCAAATCCCAACTTTGCAGCACTGCCACATTTGTGCTGTTCACCTCTGCCTCCCCTCCTTTGCCTGTAGCTCTACTTCTGGTTTCAGATCAGGGCTTCCTTCATGTACATGGGTGTCCAAGTCTGAACCTCAGCCCACCAAGTTACTCCTGAATGATACAGACATAAAGGAGTAGTGGCTGAAGCACAGAATCTTAGTCTGTCCATCTCTGACACACTTGTCTCTTGTCTTCTTTGTCATATCTGTATCTTTGGAGTCTGTCCATCTCTGACACACTTGTCTTCTTTGCCATGTCTGTATCTTTGTGTTCCCATCTTAGGAACTCAATTATCCCTCCTTGGGATATTGGATGGACATTTTTTTTTCCCCTTCAATACTTGAAGGCAAATGGGGCATGGAATAACTCCAGTAACCCATAGGGGTTTTTTGTGGGTGGTAGAGCGCTGTGATCAGTGCTGTTGCTAACATCTGGACGTCAGTACAGAGAAATAAGATCTCTGCCTGTCATCTTATTCCCTGGAACCAAAGGAAAGAGTATGCAGAAGAGGCAGGGAGCAAACAGAACTAATTTCATCAGCAAGAAAACAGGAGGAAATGATGCCTCCAAGGGTTGACTCTGAGTCACGGCGTCTCCCAAGATTACTCCTAGGCTGGTGCAGTTTGTGCAGCATTATTTGTCTCAGGGCTGTGCCAAAGGGTGCAAGCAAGTTTTGCATATTAATGGAGGCACTTCTAGCAACTCTCTGCAAAACAGCTGCAATGAAATGAGAGAAGAAACACAAAAGGGAGGGAAGGAGAGAAAGAGAGACCAAGGGAGCAAAAGAAAATGGGGAGAAAAACAACAGTATCTGTACATGTTTATCATTGCACGCAATAAATAGCTATACTTCAACTGATAGAAAGTAGTGGATTACTGAAAACTGGGTGGATTCACAGCTATTTTGATAATACAGTCTTAGGAAAGAGGAAAACCTGGTTATTTTGGAATATAGAGAAGGACGCCGCTGCAGGGGAAAATTGCCTCAGTAACCAATATTCAATCACAGGTTGTCAAGAAAGAAAACACTGAAGAAGACCACATATGAGGTGGAAGGCATGGATAAATTGCAAAAGGTGGGACATGGAAAGATAAATCCAATTTATTTAATATAATTCTGTGACAGCAGTTACGGTGCCAGATGTTAGATACATCCCAAGCATGGACTTCTGTCAATGACTGGTGCCCCAACTGTAAAGATGCAGATCATTGCAGGTTACGTTCTCTGTCAACCCGTTGACTTCTTCAGGATCACACCCACAGCTAATTTTATCCTGGTACTTTTAAACAAGCTTGCTTCATATTCCTTCTTTTACACCATACCAGTGAAGAAATTGTTTGAAGGGTTTGGCTTCCTTTCATGCAAGCTGGATTCTGGCCCCAACCCATTCCACAGCTCGCTAACATCAACAATTTCTTCTTCTGCACCAGCATCAATGCCAACATCGCTACAAGGTGAAGATTTCAGGAAGCACAAAAGAAAAAAAAAAGGCATTTGCTGAGCAATGGCTTATAAAGATGAACAAACAGATTTTGACTGTGGTAGTGGAACTTGTTTCACCTGACTATGTCAAAGTTAGGCATCTAGTCTAAGCTACTTATCTGTTGGCTTTTGTTTTGTTTTGTTTTCTGCTAAAATCAACTGCAAGAAACAAACAGCTCCAGAAGGTGATTCACCATAGCCTAGGATGGTATCTTAGCTGCTCTCTGGATGTAATTCTGTGTTTCCTCTGACTTCAGCTGATGAGCTCATGCCAGGTATTGAACTTTTAGATGGGTACACTTGGATGATATGAAGTCTACCATGAGTCAAGGAAGTGAAGCTTGAAACTGATCATCAGTTGAGATGGGCTGGAATTTGTATTCCTTCGATGCTGGGGTCAGATTTGAAACAGCTCATTCAAGGGATTTTTAATGAAGCCTATGCATATTTGTTGTTTTTTTTTATGTAATTAGTCATCTGCCATGATGATACAGTGTGAGGGGCTGAGCAAATACTACTAAAGGCAATGAAAAATACCTGTGTGAATTCTGTTACTCACACCAAGTGCAACTGAGGGTCCTAGTCCTGCGTCTGATCTTCCTACCCACATGGAGGGAAAAAGGAGATCCTGTTAGAGGTCTGGGAGCAAAGGTCTCCCAGGTGCACACACGAGTCCTGAGTCTGACTCCACTGCTTTGAATGAGGCACTTGGGGCATCACTAATCCATAAACATGAAAGTGTATGTGTAAAACCGGAGTCCCACTCCAGTGCCTCCTCTAGGAGTCTCATTTAAAGGTTGCAACTACAGTGGCAACAAAGAACAAGTCAGTGATGAGTGAGGGGCTGTCTCTCCCTGTATATAATGCCTAGGTGTGGTATCATTTAGGAGGTGGTCTAAATACAACCCAAAGCCTTTCTCTGCCTCAGATTCTCCAAATCTGTGAAAATGGTAGCACCTTTCTCACAGAGAGGACACCTTCATCGCTTAGGATTTGACTCAATCATACAGGCATCTAGTGGCACTTTAGGTGCCCTATAAAATCCTTTTGGATTCAGCCGTGGTTTCAGGGGCTTAGTTCTTTAGAGGTTTTGAATCAGGTTTACTAAACTTGGGCAGATACGTCAGAGACTGTAGGTTATCCAGAATGGCACAAGATACTTACATGTAGAAAGCTGAATTGTCCACGTCCGGTCTGGTGATGATTTGCTGTACAAAAAAAATCCCTCCAGCTCTCTGTAGCTGCGCAATGCACCACTCTTGACTAAAAAAACACAAGATCATCCATTACGCATAAATGGGACCAAGTGTATTCAACTTTCAAGACCCATCAGTGCTCTCCCTTTGAGTCCTCTCTTGTGACTAAGTTTGTCCTCAGGCAATAGCAGGGAGAAAGGAGATGGTATCATCTGGACAAGGAACATAAGTGTGAAAAAGGGAAATAAGAAAGAAAGGAACATAATTTCTTTCCTTTTACATGCTGCTACTCAACCTTTCCTTTAGCTGATCTAATGAGTTTGATCATCATTTCCACATCAGACCCCATTAAAATCACTGGAGTTATATGCAAGGGGTGAATTTGGCCTCATCTTTTTTCTTTCTATGAAAGAAATTGAAAGTTTAGGAGTTTGTTGTTGTTGTTTTGGTTTAGTTTTAGGAGAGGGGTGTTTCTTTTTAAGATAAAATCATGGGCAGGAAAATGCATAACACTGCCTATTACTTGATCCCTAAGGTACCTCTTTTAACTGAGGGTATTAAACCAAGCACTGAAAGTCTTCTCCAAAGCATTCTGAAGTCTCCAAAACTGTCTCTACTCCTGACACTGGGCTTCATGTGCAGAGTTATAACAGTCAGAATTTACTCTTGGAAGTAGACTGCAGTGACATCCAAACCACAAAAAGCAATATCGAACAGAAATCTCTGTCACTGATAGCACCCACAACACTTTTAGCTCTGCACAAAGAAGTGCTATAGCTGTGCATTGGAGGACTTCTCTGTTAACCTCTAAGAGCAATTTATTTTGGCACATTATCTAAAGTCTTTTTGGTGCTGCACAGCTTGTTCAGATCTAGATGTATTTATCAGCAGGTGTATTTTATTTTGCCACAGAAATGTCCATTCAATTCACATACAGAGAACAACTTACTCATCTTACCTGCTGTCAGTCACTTTTTTATCTTCAAGGAGAACTTTCAATGTTGAAAACCTGAGGCTCGCTGCTTATGGTGATATTCAGATTATGACTTGAGTGCTCTGCAGGAACGGGGAGTCTTGGTTTTTGTGCTATGGAAATCAATCTGAGCTTCTTTTGGTGCCTTAATGATACGCTCCAGGAAATAAAAATGGGCCGTCAAAAGGCACTGAGTCCAAATGACCTTCAGATACCAGCCACTGTGCCAGTTAAAACTGATAAGCAGAGCACCCTCGAGCTGAGGCTGCCAAGAAGGCAACGCTCTTCAGGAGTGAGGGAGACATGAGGTTCACTGAGATCCTTCATCTTTGTGGCCAGGTGGCTGTTTGTGGAAGGAGAACGTGGGCTGGGTAGGAAGAAGATGCCCATTATGCTCTGCTGATTTGCATTTCTCTCATTTGCTACCTCCCGCCAGACCAGATCTTGTGTCTTGTAGTGGAGACTTCTTGGTACTGGAGACCATCTTTTC